CAGTTGACGGAGAGAAGTTGGAGGAGGTGGAGGAGTACAAATACCTTGGAAAAATGTTAACACCAAGAAATGAAATCAGTGTTGAGGTCAATCAAAGAATCAATGTCGGATGGAGAAGATTCGGGCAATACAGTCACTTTCTAAAGGAGAAGAACATCAAACAGTTTGAAGAGGAAAATAATGGACACTGTCATTTTACCATCTATGACATACGGAGCAGAAACATGGGCGCTTACAAAACACCAATCAAGGAAGCTGGCAGTCACACAAAGGAGCATGGAGAGGAGCATACTAAATATCAGGCTAAAAGACAAGATCAGGAATGAAGTAATCAGAGAGAGAGAACCAGGGTGAAAGATGTCATCCAAACAGCAAAAGAAATGAAAGGCAGATGGGCAGGCCATGTGGCAAGAATGGAAAACAACAGATGGGCCAAATTGACAACAGAATGGTACCCAAGAAACTGCACCAGAGGAAGAGGAAAGCCAAAGAGAAGATGGAGAGACGAGATCGAAGAGGAAACTGGAAAGACCTGGATGAGGAGAGCTAAAGACCGAATCGAGTGGAAGAAGTTGTGGAGGCCATCTGCCAGCAGTGGCGTGAACAGCTGATGATGATGATGATGATGAAGGTAATTGAATTAAATTATGTAGGCAAAACTTGTATCATCAAATAAATGAATAAGAGTCCCAACAGTCAGAATATTTTAACAGTCAATTTCCAATGAGAATACTTAATGCATCCAATTGTCAAAACAAAAAATCTCAAATAACCACACCTGTCAACACAAAAAATTGGCAAAAATCATATATGCTTTAAACAAAGCAACTACATCAAGTATGAAGGAGAAATTAAATGTTATAATATTTTACATATAAGATGTTAAAAAATGAGTACAACAACTTCAATGACTACAATAACTTCAACAGCTTGGATCTCAAAACAGCCACTGTAATAACCTGAAAGTAGTCAATTACTGTATTCAACTGTATTCAATAACTTGGTCCAAACAACTCAGCCCCTATTCAACCCCTAATTTAATTGTAAGCCTAACTTTGACCATAGCTCCCAACCCTAACCTTAGCCTTTACCTAAACCATTATATGGAACATCGTGCTGTCAAACTGTGAAGAGTGCTTGGCAACCAATGCATCTTGAAATTGAATTGGCTGTTGTCCGAACACAATCTGATATAAATAGCTTGCACATAATAATCTTGGAATACATAAAATGTAAACTTAACATCTTCAACCTTCACATATTACAAATGGTAATAATGAAACAACAGTAATATGAGATCGACACAACATGCAAAAAATCACCATCAAATTTCACAATCCATGCAACCAACAACAAACACCATTTGTTAATTAACAACCCTTCGTAAACAAAAATTGTATAAAAGACTTTCATTCGCGCATTTGTGAATGTCAGCACGAAGTCGCAGCGAGCAAACGTCGCATCAAAGAGCGCGATCTTTATCATGAATTCATAATCTTAGCCTAAGCAAGTAAAAAGATACGATAAACATCGCGTGTCAAAAACGCAATAAATTGTTGCTTTGAAGGGTAAGTTTAAATTGAAATAAAACCTCTCGAATGATTAGTCAGTCATTAAACAAAACTGTAATGAACTTTGATTACAAGAATTTGTATACGGAAATACGTAAACTCGTCAATCTATGTGCACAGCTGTTCAAGTCGCACATTTCAACATGTTGACAATTTTGGTCGGCAGCGATACGTTTTCTATACAATAACTACAAAGTAGCATTCTCATTTCAAATGTTAAATAAGATTATCACACACACACACGTGTTAAAATGACTCTAACTTCGACCGTTTTAGAGAAAACCGTCGTAAAGTATCATACCTAATAGCTGGTCGGGTTCCAAGCCGGACACATTGTCAAGTCCGCAAACAACGAAATAGTCAATGAGCCGTTCTCCCGCAGACGTTGGAGCGGTCATGGCGCTCTTCTTTATGTAACCCTTACTTTAAATAGAGAATACGCCATTTTTTAAGCTACATATCACTGTATGCAAAGTCTCGCATGCATCAAACATGCAAAGAAAAATCGTTCTCGTTCAAATGTCATGAAGTCATAGACATGGTTTGATTGATCTCTTGCCACTCCAGCTTCGCGGAGGAAGGACTGTACACTGACCGACCATTGAACTGGACTATTATTTCACCGCTGGCGTTGTTAGATCATGTCAAACCAAACCCATTGAGTTCTAGAAGACCTGGAGGGAAATGCACTTGTCACAACGCATAAAAGTCACAACACATCACTTAAATAAAGTCACAACACAATTAAATATGTAAACACATAATCACAACGTAAAATAATCACAACGCAAGTAAATAAAGTCACAACGCAAGTAAAATATGAAATACTGGAAATTCTTTTTGTGAAGTGGAAACATTGTTGTGATATTTTGCAAAATGGCGCTTGTTTAAATTTGTTCCACGAAAAACCAGACTTATTATAAATTATATTCAATATATTGCTTGATGGATAGCAAAAAAAATGTTTTGTTCAAACTGTGGTATAGAAAGTGTGGAAAATGCGAATTACTGTTATAAATGTGGCAACTCCTTCGCACCGATGCGCGAAAAACTTGAAGAATCTGCAAACACATGTTCTACGTCGAATTCTATAACTAGTGGGATCTCAGTATTATGTGCTAGCGGTACCCTTACTGGTACAACCCAGCCGCCTAAAACGTTAAGTTTTTACGATTTCAAGCGCCAGAAGGAAAGCGATAGGCGCAGCAGACTCGAGCCAAAGACCAAGAAACTCAAAGCAAATTCTGGTAAAGGAAAAGATAAGGAGCATGAAGTAAGCATAAATATTGGTTACATGAAGGTCGATAATGACGGAAATTTGAAAAGATGTCGGGGTAAAACTCTCCCTGTAAAAGTTTTGCCAAGTGCGAAAAAGAGAGAAATCTTAGAAAAGCAGTTAGAAAACATGCTAACCACGACAATAACATCCATGGCGAGTTGGAGCACGTCCTTTGAATGTAAACGGGAAGGAAATCACAAATTTGCCGGGAACTGAAAAGAGTTTGTGTTAAGCGAATACAGGGAAGATATAGGGAAGAATTATAATCGCTTAACACTTTTCATTGCACTAAAATCTGCATATATGTACACAGAGATTTCAAAATTAAAAAGAAGTTGTGATGATAGTGAACCAGAGACAATCGCAGATCTTTCTGATGAGATGTTTTTAGAAACTGATGATACAATTGGAATTGAACTCTCACCTTGTCCATCTTCAAGTCCATGTGAGCCATCAACTAGCTTGCATATTGCTACAAATCTCCCAATGAATACACCTCCCATATATAACTCCCAAAGTGCAAGTAACTATGTATCACGTAGCAAGGAGCTCAAATGTGAGTGCCCAACATGTCAACAATACTTTTCAATAGATGAAATAGCAGAGCATGCAGATATATGTTGTGACATATGGGTGGGAGCACTTCAATCTCAAAATACGGATAGTGAAAAGAACATTCCCGAAGAAAATCCTTATGTGGTGATAAACCAAGATAACACTACAAATGTGAAAGATAAGTTATTGGATATTAAAGCTGTAACATTGTCACCAAAGGCAGTAAGATTAAATGTTCAGAGAAAAATATATGGTGTGACTTCATTGAGTATAGATCAAGTGGTAAAGTGTCACCAACTGACAGTGTAAAGATAGTGTTTGTTGGAGAGTGTGCAATTGATGACGGGGGGCCAAAGAGAGAGTTTTTTTCAGGTACTAATATTGTAAGACATATGTTTCTAGGGTTAATATGAGCACCCTGTTGATTTAAAATAAATATATTGTTCTGCTACACTTCAATTCCCTTTGCAGCTTATTTCCCATAATTTGTCTATCATGCATCAATCAATGTTGACAAGTTTGGTTTAAATATAGGATGGGGACAATTGAAAAAATATGATTAGATGTTAATTCTTTCATCAGAAATGTTGGAGCATATGGAAAGAAGACTGTTCTGTAATGGAAAACCTATTAATTCAACTGTCGCCATCATGAATGGAGACTTTCGTTTTGCTGGCGAGGTCATGGTGATGTCATTACTTCAAGGCGGACCAGCTTCATCTTTTATAAGTCCAGATGTTTACAAGTACATCACCAAACAGGCACTCACAACAGAAGGAATGCCCGACTCCAAGTACAAAAAAGCTGTTAAAAAGGTATGCCGCAACAAGATGGAGATTACCATATGCTTGATTATTACTCCTTGCTGTGGCATGATTTTGAAATAAGTCTATTTTTATTATATTCTCTGATGTCAGTAATGATTACTTTACACTTCTCCTTTTCAAAGATAAAGCAAGCTTGTGACGATGAAATGTTGAGGGAGATACTTGTCAGCGATGATATGATTGAAATGCTATCAGAGGCTGGATACACTGGTGTACCACATAAAGAGACAGTGCATACTGTTTCCAAAATTGCTCAGTAAGTACATTTTGAAAGTTAATGGAGATTAAAAAAAACTATTCTTGTGCTGCTGGTTTATAAAGTCTAAGATTTATTTCTATTTTTAAAGGTCAATTTGCGTAATGGGCCACTTTTCATCAGTTCTTCCTCAAATTATGCAATTGCTTGAAGGCCTCAGCAGTTGTGGTCTTATAAATTATATGATAGAAAATCCAGAGTTGTGGAAGCCATTGTTCGATCCTTATAACGATTCGTTTAAACTTTCTGCTGATACTTTCCTCAATGAAATTATTCCAACATTCAGCAGTTCGCAGATTCACAAGGAAAAGGAGGTTGACGTGTACAAGATATTTTGCGACTATGTGCAAACCCTAGATACTGAAGGTTAGTTTGAATATATATGTTGTAAATTGGGTGCCAAATTGTATTATTGTATTTACGATGGAATTTTTTGAAAGTATCAAATAACGCGTAAAATTTATTGAAGTGATGTTTTCTAATCTGAAGTTGTGGTATAAAACAAAAATGGATACCTTGATTAGTTTGTTTATTCATTTTTCAGTCTTAAATGTTTAAAATGTTTTTAACAGGAGACGTATCCATATCAGCGTTTCTGAAGTGGTTATCGGGATGTAAGACTATTCCAGTTCTGGGTTTTCCAAAAAAATTTTCCGTAACGTTTGTACATGATTGCAAAGAAAATTGTAAATGTCGCCCCACAACATCAACATGCGATCTTCTGCTGAGAATTCCAGTTCATATAAGTAACATTAGTGAGATGGAGCAGATGACACAAATATAATACGAACTAAAAATGAATTTAAGTTTTATAGCGTTAATAACTCTCATCTGTCCATCGTAACTTTGCTATAATTCTATAGATAAATTATGTTTTTATATATAACAGATTATTGATGATCCGACTTCACCTGAAGGTGTTCAGCAAGAACGACGTATGAAGTTACTGTCGTAAATTAATAATATAGCCCTTGATAAAGGGGTGGATGGTCAAAATTATAAATGTCATGGTTGTTCCAGACCAATTGGAATGAGTATGATCAATGAATTCTTGACTTGTTATTTCCTAATAACTCAAATATATTTATTTTCAAATTTCTTAGCTTAATAAATGTTATCTTTGTAGAAACTATTATAACAAAGTACATAATCCCTTTTTTCCGTGAAGCCCATGGATGCGTTCGTTCATGATGAAAGAGTCATATTGTATAAGGAGGCTCTCGTTCATCACGAGAGTTATGAGAAAGTTACGTTGTAAAGGTAATAAGTAAAAACGTATAAACATGCTTAGTGTTTGTTTAAGTTATAGTTCAAAAGGCAAAAAGTTCCATTTGAACCTTTGAAGTATCCTTGGACGTTCTAGTTTTTTATGAGAAGAATTCTTAAAGAAAAAAATAAAATTTGAAAACCAAAGAATCCTGTTTTCGGTCCATGCTTCCCGATACCTTCTTAAGCGCAAGGCACTAGAACGCCGCATGTTAACGTTTCGGTGGAGATTTCGGCCCTCCACGCTATCCTACTTGGGAGATGCCAATAGCAAGCTTCCGCCCATCAGACCCTGAGATCACCTGCGATAGGCTTTGCTCAGGGTACGGGAGAGTGCGGTCGCCACCACCGAAGTGAGGGCCCTAAGCCACTGCATACTATATCGCACCCAGCTTCCACTGCTACTTGACATCTACTATATGAAGTTTTAGCTTTATATATATATACCAAAATTTAAAGGCCTACGAAAGTTGTGGGATGATTGTTATCGTTACTGCGCATGCCCAGATAGTTTCTTCGATAATTTGCGACTAAGTGAGTTAATTGACACAAATGTAGTGCAAGTACATATAGTTGGTCGTTGTCATGACTATGAACAATTACTGAGTGGACTGCGCATGCTCGAGCGCATGCGCAGACGATTTCTCTATTAAATTCTTACTAAGCATGCTATTTAATTCAAAATTGGTACTAGTAGATGCAGTTGGTCGTTGCCATGACCACGAACTTAAGTAGCTGGTCAAGTTGATTGCGCATGCTCAATAAGACTGCGCATGCGCAGATGATTTGTCTTAAAACGTGTGATTGAGCGAGCTAATTACTCCAAAATCGGTACTAGTACATCCAGTTGGTCGTTACCATGAGCTTGGAGAGTTTGTGGAGTTGACAACGCATGCTCAGATTCTCAATTAATTTGTGACAGAGCGAGCTCTGAAATTGGTGCTTGTACATGCGCTGAGCATGTTTTTCATTATATATTTTTGGCATGCTTTTTGTCTACTTAAGCTTGTTTTTACAAATGCATGTGAAACTCGTCAACACTTTGTTACGGCACTCGTAATATCCGTGACAACGTTAAAAATGTTTTTTATTTTTCTCTACAACTTTATATCTGCATATTGCATGTCATATCCAGGCTTTCCTTTGATTTGACGGGAAATGGTTTTTATTCACTCTTACATCTTCTGCCTTTATAATTAGTCGATCTGTATTTCTAAACTAATATTTACAAATGCCTCAAGAGAATCTTTTTATTTTATTGGCTCTCTTTTACAAATACAATACCATGTCCGACTATTTGATTGCACAAATTTTGTAATTTGATCACTTTTTTTGACACATGTGTTTACCATGGGAAAGATGGATTGCTTAAATGTACGTAGTTGTTTAGACTAGTTGGATCCATAGTTATCCTGTAATGTATACTCTTGTGAAACACCAATGAGCATACGTAGTGTGTCTTCTTTAACGTCTATTCTTGTTCTCCACTTCATCATCTATCCATATTTGTTCTTTTTTAGTTCTCAGCTCAACGCAACCCTTGTCTGAAGTTCCTAAAGCCTTGATCTACCCAAGAAAGATCTCTGGTGGTAACATGCTAGGTATGGCTAGTGGTTGGTCATCGTCATTGAGCCTTGTGACACTTGATGAATATATGGAAATATGAAGAAATTCGTTTTCAGTGGGGAGGGGTGAATTCACAATTTTGTAAAATTTCTTATTTTTGTCGAAAATGTGTTCAAATGCATAAATTATAATTTTTTGATGAAAATATGAAAATATGAAGAAATTCATTTCAGGGGAGGGTGTTATCCCAATTTTGTAAAAATTTTTTGTTATGGAAAATGTGTTCAAATGCATAAATTATAGTTTTTGATGAAAATATGGAAATATGAAGAAATTTATTTTCAGGGGGAGGGTGGTATCCCAATTTTGTAAATTTTTTTTGTTACGGAAAATGTGTTCAAATGCATAAATTATAGTTTTTGATGAAAATATGGAAATATGAAGAAATTCATTTTCAGGGGGGGAGGGGTGGTATCCCAATTTTGTAAATTTTTTTGTTATGGAAAATGTGTTCAAATGGATAAATTATAGTTTTTGATGAAAATATGGAAATATGAAGAAATTCATTTTCAGGGGAGGGGTTGTATCCCAATTTTGTAAATTTTTTTGTTATGAAAATGTGTTCAAATGCATAAATTATAGTTTTTGATGAAAATATGGAAATATGAAGAAATTCGTTTTCAGGGGAGGGTGGATTCACAATTTTGTAAAATTTCTTATTTTTGTCGAAAATGTGTTCAAATGCATAAATTATAGTTTTTTGATGAAAATATGGAAATATGAAGAAATTCATTTTCAGGGGAGGGTGGTATCCCAATTTTGTAAAATTTTTTGTTATGGAAAATGTGTTCAAATGCATAAATTATAGTTTTGATGAAAATATGGAAATATGAAGAAATTCATTTCAGGGGAGGGGTGGTATCTCAATTTTGTAAAATTTCTTATTTTGTCGAAAATGTGTTCAAATGCATAAAATGGCCTGACTTCGGTGGTGGCGAACCGCATTTTCCTGGTACCCTGAGCAAAGCTTCTATCGCAGGTGATCTCAGGGTATGATGGGCGGAAAATTCATATTGGCATCTTTTCAGGATAGCGTAGAGGTAAAATTTTTGTTATGGAAACGTTCAACATGCATAAATTATAGTGCCTTGCGCTTAAGAAGGTATCGGGAAGCATGGACGAAACGGGTTTTTTATTTCGAATTTTATCTTTGTTTTCTTCTTATAAAATAACCAGCAATGTTTCAATTAACTTCTTACGAGGTGTTTTTCTGACAATTATTATTAAAGACAACCTTAAAACAAGTTTATACCAAATATGGTTTATGTCTTTCTGATTTAATCTCAATTTACTGTTTCTCATGTATCATGTGAGCAAAACCATCCATATTTTCATGGAAAACAAACAAGGATTATGTGGTTCCTTAGTTAACATGCGACGCTCTAGTGCTCAACTATCTTGGGTATCTGAGGCATGGACCGAAAATGGATTCATTTTGGTTTTCAAAATTTATCTTTTTCTTTACAAAATGTGTTCTCATAAAAATAGAACTTAAGGATACTTCAAATGTTCAAACAACTTCTGCCTTTTAAATTATAACCTAAACAAACACTAAGCATGTTTTATAGTTTTTTACTTATTATCTTTTACAACGTAACTTTCATAACTCTCGTGATGAAAGAGCATCCTTATACAATATGATTTCATCATGAACGAACGCATCCATGGGTTTCACGGAAAAAAGGATTATGTATTTGTTACAATAGTTTCTACAAAGATAACATTTATTAAGCTAAGAAATTTGAAAATAAATATATTTGAGTTATTATGGAAATAACAAGTCAAGAATTCATTGATCATACCCAATTGGTCTGGAACAATTTTGACATTTATAATTTTGACCATGTTCAAATGTTATTAAGGGCTATATTATTAATTAAGAAATTCATTTTCATACGTGGTTCTTTTGTAACACCTTCAGGTGAATGTAGGATCATCAATAATCTGTTATATAAAAATATAATTTATCCATAGAATTATAGCAGTTACGATGACAGATGAGAGTTATTAACGCTGTTAAAACTTAAATTCAATATATCGTATAAAGTATCAAATATGACGATTTCTCGTATCGAAAGGATTCTCAAAGTAAAGGTGATAATTAAGATGAAAATGTTTCGAAAATTGAAATTATAGAATTTTTCAACAAAATAAATAAATAAAGGCGCTGTCAGGGGAGGGTGGTATCCCAATTATGAAACTTGGTATTTATGGAAAATTTAAGCAAATGCATAAATTAAATCAATTCATGGGTATGGAAATATATTAAATGTTTCATTCTTTGTTTTTCTTTTGAAACCGAAATTTCAAATGTTATATAAATTTCTTTCAATACTTTCAGGAGTTACGCCTTCTAAAAGCAACGGTTTCTAATGTAAAAGGTTTGGAAAGTTACAAATGCATAAATTGTGATTTCCTGAGTTACTATCCCAACATTACGATTTCGATTCAAACGTTACAACTTTCGCGTTGAAAATTTCACGAAACAGATTACAAGTTTTACGGCTTCTCAATGCAAGATACAACGCCTAACGTTACAACTTTGTACGTAATATCACGGCTTCCTTAATCTACAGATTCGTTATGATATGCTTTCTGACATCAATGCTCAAATATAACAAAGTCTTAAGTTTAAGTGGTGAAATTTCACAATGCATGCACGTGACGCATAGGTTTGAAGAAAACTTTCTCCCTTATGACACACACAGATGTTGCAGAGTCACAACAATTTACAAAACAGAGTCTCGTTTTAAATAAACAATATAATGGCTAAATGCTTCCCTTTGCTCAGACCCTCAGCTTCGCTCAGTCCCCCCTTCAGCAAAGTAACAAGGTTTCTTTTGAAAAATGGTTGTTTCCAACCAAGCATAAATCATACCATGCAAACTGCATGTTCATCAAATGGATTCCAGGGGACATGATCAGGATAATGAGCTAATGTCTTTGCCCGATAAGACCTTTCAAGGTGGAACGTGATGTGAATCACCTACAAAAGAAACCAAAGAAATACTTGAATTTATGAAATGGAAGTATATAAACACTCTTGACATTTTGAATATTGCAACATGAAGAAACACAAATGGAAAATCTTTTAGCTGTTTGAGCAAAATTAAATACTGCATATGGCTTGCTCAGTTGAGTTGCCCTTTACTCAAAATAAAATTGTTAAGTTATTATTTCTAGTACTATTAAAAAAACATAAAAACATCAGTGAAAAAAAGAATTGGGAAGAAAGTTCACTCTTCCGGGCCCAACAGGTCATATTTTTCCCATTTCTAGTTATGAAAGCAAACCAATGTTAATGTCATTGTTTGACTTGCAGGAGAATGTTGAGGAAAGAAGGAAAGTTCATTTTAGCATAAAAATGATTTAACAAATAAATAATTGTTTTAGATGTAATAATAATATGTACTTTTTACATTAAATTATGTGTTAAGTCAGGAGTCGGCAAAGGTTATGTTGAACTGTGCAAGACAATCAGGAAGAAAACAAGACAAAATCTGAGAGAAGCAAACACCAAGAGAATCAGAGAAGCAGTTGAAAGTGGCAAAGGGTTGAAAAAGCACAACAGGAGATGGAAAGAAGGTCTGATTCAAGCACTGAAGGAGAAGGATGGAAAGGTAATAACAGACAGAAAGAATCCTCGAGAGATGCAGAATTTATCAGGCACTGTACGAAGATCACTCCCAAAACATTCAGTTGAGACCAGCAGAAGAGACTCCAGTAATCATGAAATGAAGTGGAGAAGGCAATCCATCAGATGAAAACGGAAAATCACTCGGTGAAGATCTTGTGGTATAGAGATGATAAAGGCCGGAGGTGACATCCTAATGGAAAAACTTCAGCATCTTTACAACAAAGCCATTGAGACGGAAAAAGTGCCAAAAGAGTGGAGGAACGCCATCATTATTCTACTCTTCAAGAAGGAGACAAGAAAGATCTTGCAAACTACCGCCCCATCAGTTTGCTATCCCACATCTACAAGTTGTTCATGAAAATCATCAAGAACAGAATCAGTGGCACTCTGGATGAACATCAACCCCCAGAGCAAGCAGCATACAGGAAAGGATTCTCAACTGCAGACCACCTGCATGCTACAGGACAAATACTGAGAAAACCAACGAGTACCAACAACCACTGTTCATGGCATTTGTAGATTACTTAAAAGGCATTCGATTCCATCAAGCATGCCCCAGTATTCCAACTTTGCGAAACACGGAGTACCAGGAAAGATCATAAACAGCATAAAGGAAACATACAGAGAAGGCACAGCACCAATAAGAACAGAAAAGCTGAGCGAAAAGATCAAGATAAAGAAAGGTGTCCGCCAAGGAGATACACTGTCACCTATCATGTTCACTGCTGCCATTGAAGAGATCTTCAAAAGAATACCATTGGAAAAAGAGTAATGAACAACTTAAGATTCGCAGATGACATCATCTTGTTTGCAAACAAAGAGGAAGATCTCCAAGAACTTTTGACGAAACTGAATGAAGAAGGAAAGAAAGATGGTATGAAAATGAATAAGAAAAAAACCAAGATCATGTGCAATGACATCGCAAGGAGGAAGCAAAGAAGAGGGATCACAGTTGTGAAGTTGGAGGAGGTGGAGGAGTACAAATACCTTGGAAAATGTTAACACCAAGAAATGAAATCAGTGTTGAGGTCAATCAAAGAATCAATGTCGGATGGAGAAGATTCAGGCAATACAGTCACTTTCTAAAGGAGAAGAACATCCCAAACAGTTTGAAGAGGAAAATAATGGACACTGTCATTTTACCATCTATGACATACGGAGCAGAAACATGGCTTACAAAACACCAATCAAGGAAGCTGGCAGTCACACAAAGGAGCATGGAGAGGAGCATACTAAATATCAGGCTAAAAGACAAGATCAGGAATGAAGTAATCAGAGAGAGAGAACCAGGGTGAAAGATGTCATCCAACAGCAAAAATGAAAGGCAGATGGGCGGCCATGTGGCAAGAATGGAAAAACAAACAGATGGGCCAAATTGACAACAGAATGGTACCCAAGAAACTGCACCAGAGGAAGAGGAAAGCCAAAGAGAAGATGGAGAGACGAGATCGAAGAGGAAACTAGAAAGACCTGGATGAGGAGAGCTAAAGACCGAATCGAGTGGAAGAAGTTGTGGAGGCCATCTGCCAGCAGCAGTGGGGAACAGCTGATGATGATGATGATGAAGGTAATTGAATTAAATTATGTAGGCAAAACTTGTATCATCAAATAAATGAATAAGTGTCCCAACAGTCAGAATATTTTTAACAGTCAATTTCCAATGAGAATACTTAATGCATCCAATTGTCAAAACAAAAAATCTCAAATAACCACACCTGTCAACACAAAAAATTGGCAAAAATCATATATGCTTTAAACAAAGCAACTACATCAAGTATGAAGGAGAAATTAAATGTTATAATATTTTACATATAAGATGTTAAAAAAAATGAGTACAACAACTTCAATGACTACAATAACTTCAACAGCTTGGATCTCAAAACAGCCACTGTAATAACCTGAAAGTAGTCAATTACTGTATTCAACTGTATTCAATAACTTGGTCCAAAACAACTCAGCCCCTATTCAACCCCCTAATTTAATTGTGTCTAACTTTGACCATAGCTCCCAACCCTAACCTTAGCCTTTACCTAAACCATTATATGGAACATCGGCTGTCAAACTGTGAAGAGTGCTTGGCAACCAATGCATCTTGAAATTGAATTGGCTGTTGTCCGAACACAATCTGATATAAATAGCTTGCACATAATAATCTTGGAATACATAAAATGTAAACTTAACATCTTCAACCTTCACATATTACAAATGGTAATAATGAAACAACAGTAATATGAGATCGACACAACATGCAAAAAATCACCATCAAATTTCACAATCCATGCAACCAACAACAAACACCATTTGTTAATTAACAACCCTTCGTAAACAAAAAATTGTATAAAAAAGACTTTCATTCGCGCATTTGTGAATGTCAGCACGAAGTCGCAGCGAGCAAACGTCGCATCAAAGAGCGCGATCTTTATCATGAATTCATAATCTTAGCCTAAGCAAGTAAAAAGATACGATAAACATCGCGTGTCAAAAACGCAATAAATTGTTGCTTTGAAGGGTATATTTAAATTGAAATAAAACCTCTCGAATGATTAGTCAGTCATTAAACAAAACTGTAATGAACTTTGATTACAAGAATTTGTATACGGAAATAATAAACTCGTCAATCTATGTGCACAGCTGTTCAAGTCGCACATTTCAACATGTTGACAATTTTGGTCGGCAGCGATACGTTTTCTATACATAACTACAAAGTAGCATTCTCATTTCAAATGTTAAATAAGATTATCACACACACACACGTGTTAAAATGACTCTAACTTCGACCGTTTTAGAGAAAAACCGTCGTAAAGTATCATACCTAATAGCTGGTCGGGTTCCAAGCCGGACACATTGTCAAGTCCGCAAACAACGAAATAGTCAATGAGCCGTTCTCCCGCAGACGTTGGAGCGGTCATGGCGCTCTTCTTTATGTAACCCTTACTTTAAATAGAGAATACGCCATTTTTTAAGCTACATATCACTGTATGCAAAGTCTCGCATGCATCAAACATGCAAAGAAAAAATCGTTCTCGTTCAAATGTCATGAAGTCATAACATGGTTTGATTGATCTCTTGCCACTCCAGCTTCGCGGAGGAAGGACTGTACACTGACCGACCATTGAACTGGACTATTATTTCACTCGCTGGCGTTGTTAGATCATGTCAAACCAAACCCATTGAGTTCTAGAAGACCTGAGGGAATGTACGGTGGCCCATAGGGCCATTCACTTAAAAAAGTCACAACACAAGTAAATGTAATCACAACACAAGTAAAATAATCACAACGCAAGTAAATAAAGTCACAACGCAAGTAAATAAAATCACAACACAAGTAAAATAATCACAACGCAAGTAAATAAAGTCACAACACAATTAAATATAGTCACAACACAAGTAAATATAATCACAACGCAAGTAAAATAATCACAACGCAAGTAAATATAATCACAACACAAGTAAATATAATCACAACGCAAGTAAAATATGAAATACTGGAAATTCTTTTTGTGAAGTGGAAACATTGTTGTGATATTTTGCAAAATGGCGCTTGTTTAAATTTGTTCCACGAAAAACGAGACTTATTATAAATTATATTCAATATATTGCTTGATGGATAGCAAAAATGTTTTGTTCAAACTGTGGTATAGAAAGTGTGGAAAATGCAATTACTGTTATAAATGTGGCAACTCCTTCGCACCGATGCGCGAAAACTTGAAGAATCTGCAAACACATGTTCTACGTCGAATTCTATAACTAGTGGGATCTCAGCATTATGTGTGCTAGCGGTACCCTTACTGGTACAACCCAGCCGCCTAAAACGTTAAGTTTTTACGATTTCAAGCGCCAGAAGGAAAGCGATGGCGCAGCAGACTCGAGCCAAAGACCAAGAAACTCAAAGCAAATTTGGTAAAGGAAAAGATAAGGAGCATGAAGTAAGCATAAATATTGGTTACATGAAGGTCGATAATGACGGAAATTTGAAAAGATGTCGGGGTAAAACTCTCCCTGTAAAAGTTTTGCCAAGTGCGAAAAAGAGAGAAATCTTAGAAAAAGCAGTTAGAAAACATGCTAACCACGCATCTGATGCGCCTATCGCTTTCCTTCTGGCGTTGAAACAAAACTTAACGTTTTAGGCGGCAAAATTACAGTAAGGGTACTGCTAGCACTTTAATACTGAGATCCCACTAGTTATAGAATCTCGACGTAGAACATGTGTTTGCAGATTCTTCAAGTTTTCGCGCATCGGTGCGAAGGAGTTGCCACATTTTATAACAGTAATTCGCATTTTCCACACTTTCTATACCACAGTTTGAACAAAACATTTTTTTT